GCTGCTGCTACTTACTACTCTGCTTGGCTGTCTGCTGCTGCTACACATACTTGCGCGCTGAGCGCGCTGCTGCTGCTACTGCTGCACTACTACTTTGGCGCCGCCCACAGCGGCTGCTGCTGCTGCTTGCTTGGCTACGTGACTGCCTGCTGCTGCTGGCTGACTACGCCTGCTGCGACTGCTGCTGCTGCAAGCTGCAGCATGCATGATCGATAAGCGGCCTGTAAGTACTAGACACCCGTGATGCCCGCCAGCTGCCGTCGTCGCCGTCGGCCGTAGCATCTACACACAGCCGACGCGTTGAAGCAAACTGCCGCTACGGCTGCTCGTGCGTAGCGTGTGTCGTGCTGTGTGTGTGCGTGCGTGCGTGCGTTGTTGGCGTGTGTGTTGTGTGCGTGTTGTGTGTGTGTGCTGCGCGCGCGTGTGTGTGTGTGTGCATGCGTGCGGCGTGCGCTGCGTGCGTGTATGCTGTGTGTGTGGCGTGCGTGCGTGGCGCGCGTGTGTACGTGTGTGATGCGTGCGTCGTGCCGTGTGTGCGTGTGTGCGTGCTGCGTGCGCGGTGTGTCTGGCTGTGTGCGTGGGTGCGTGCGTGCGTGCGCACGCGTGTGTGTGCGTGTGGCGCGGCGCGTGTGTGTGTGTGATGGAGAGAAGCGGGTGCGTGGAGGAGGCGGAGGCGGCGGTGGCGGAGCGGTTGCGCGGTTGCGGTGGCTGGCCGTCTGTACAGAAGCGCAGGAAGTCATGAAACAAACGCATTGTGGTTGTATAAATCACCAGCTGTGGTGTCGGCACACTGTATTCACGCTCACCATCACCAACACTACACACATACACACCAACACACAGACACACACAACACACACACACACACGAGTCACACACCCTGCGCGCGCGCGCCGGACGCACACAGCACACAAGACAGCCACCAAACCCAGCACGCACAACGCACACACACACACAACACACACACACATACACACACAGCACGCACGCGCGCACGCACGCACGCACGCACGCACACACGACACGCGGCGCACGTGCACTAAGCAAACAGCGGTGTGACGCGATCAGTCATCGTCAACGCCCGCTGACGGCGCGGCGCTCTCAGATTCTACGCTGAGTTTGTCTCCGCCAAATAAGTGTCAATTATAATTGCGATAGAGACACGCGATGAAAATTTGTTTCACAATAAACGGATACAATCAATGTCACAGCGATCCCACAATTATTACACCCCTCCGTGGTGTATGTTAGAGGCGCGCTCCATGTAGAGCTGTGGTGTCTGGTAGAGCTCATGTAGGCCCCCCGCCCGTACCTTTTAGTAGTATATTCTTACGCACGAGCACACACGCAGTAATACGCACCGTACGCACGCACGCACACCACTACACACACGACACACACCACACACACACACACACATCACACACATACACACACACACACACACACGCACACACCCACACACACACACACACAATGTACTCACGCACGCACACAACATGCACACACACGCGGGCACACGGCACGCAACACACGTACACACGTAAGCGCGCGCCGCCAGCAGCAACAGCAGCAGCAGCAGTAGCAGCAGCAGCAGCAACAGCAGCAGTATCAGCAGCAGCAGTATCAGCAGCAGCCCCCATGTTGCACCTGCAGGCTGCATTCATGGTGGGATCGGTGAGAGCTTTGTTTGAGGTGCTCTCAGCGCGAGCTGATACCATAAGCTATACACACTTGTAGAGGGAAACACACACGCAAGCACACACACACACACGCACGCACGCACGCGCACGAACGTACAAACACAACACAAACACAACACACACATACATATACACACGCACGCACCACATACGCACGCACCACACACGCACGCACACACACACACGCCCGCACACGCACGCACACACACGCACACACACACACACACACACACACACACACACACACNACACACACACGCGCATGCACCAAAACTCAGGCGCGCGCTCACGCAAACACGAGTATATTGAGTGAATATGTAGCGTGAATATATGCTGTCTGGACGCTAAATGAGGACAGATAAGATGGCATACATGCATGCAATGGATCTTTTTCAAACGGTAACCGATTCAAGCAGACATTGCCTTCAGACAAACACCGCCAGCTGTCCCTCGTGTGTGCGTGCGCGCGGCTGTGTTTGTGTGTGTGTGTGTGTGTGTGTGTGTGTGTGTGTGTGTGTGTGTGTGTGTGTGTGTGTGTGTGTGTGTGTGTGTGTGTGTGTGTGTGTGTGTGTGTGTGTGTGTGTGTGTGTGTGTGTGTGTGTGTGTGTGTGTGTGTGTGTGTGTGTGTGTGTGTGTGTGTGTGTGTCGTCGTGTGTGTGTGTGTGTGTGTGTGTGTGTGTG